CCGCCAGATGTTTGCCTAAACATATTATTAAAAGTGACTTTACAGCTCAACGATTTGAGACATGAAGGAGCGTGTGATTGGACAGCAGCCAGCAGGAGAGAGCGCAGGAAGGAAACCCACAAAATACGAGTGAAACATGGCTGATAACAGTGGCGACAAACAAAACCGTCTTTTTGTAGTCAAGTGAAAGTATACTCACCGATCAGGTACGTCAGGAACAGGTTGTGCACCTGCTGTCCGATCCAGGCCACAGCCAGCAGGCTGCTGATCACTGAGGCAAAGTACTGTGGAGATCAGGAGGTCAGGTTACATCCAGCTCAATTTCATTAGCAAGTCATCATTCAGAAGGAAGAGAGAACGGCCACTGAATGAGAACGAGTCAAACAGGCCGTGAAAAACTCTGTTCTGGCTGCCTGTGACCCAGTTTGAGCTCTGCTAAGTGGAGCAGCAAAGTCAGATCAGCTGATATTTTTATCTGGAGCACAGAGAGCTCCCTGTTGGAATAAAACTTCCATTTACTGCAGCTTACTTGATTCATTCAGGTTCCCTGTAGCTCAAGTTAGACTTTAACTCTGCTCAGACCAAAAGCAAAGGTCACAGACTGTTTTTGGGACTTGCCTCCAGCAGCCAATCAGATACAGCCCCTTCACTGTGCACGCTAAGCTAGCCCACAAAGATCAGCTTATCAGAACTTTGTGCGAATGTGATTCATTTTGGAGCCTGAGAACATGGTGGAAAGTTTTGTGCCTCTTCTTCACCGACTGCAACACGGTCAAAAACTTCCAACTACAAACACACAGCACGGCTGAGACCAGCAAGACGCAGCTGATTACACTACAACTATCATAGTGAGGTGTTGAGCTGCAAGATCAGATGCAGGATGAGGAATTTATGTCTTAAAAATGCTGGTTTTTGGAGGGGTCGGGATCAAAGTGAAAGCTCTGAGCGTACCATTTTGGGTTTTTCCTCCTTGAGGGTGCAGAGGCGCTTCCACCAGCCCACGATGCGGCGCTCAGTCTTCACCAGGTTCCCGCAGATCTCGTGGAAACGCTGCTGCTGCTCGGTGGTCCTGCAGGAGCAGAGTTCAAGGCGTTACAGACAATGAGAAAACTCACTCGACGGTCCTGGCTGCAGAGTTTCTGCAGAGTTAAAGCTCGGGCCTGAAGAAGTTGGTGAAAACCAACATTTCCTAATCTCACCATCAAGAGGAAGCCAGTGAGTCACACACAGCTGCCTGCAACACTTAGCTCTATTTAAACCGATGAGAGTGAGAAAAAACAGTGTTGTTGCATTAACGTTTTTAATGTGACCTAATAAACATCTAAGCCCCATTAGAGCTGAAACGATCAGCTGACTCACAGATGATCAGCTGCAGCAGCACAAATATTTCAGATCATGGGGCAAAAAAATTCAATATCAGCTTCTCAGCACATTTAAACTTCCTCCTTTTCTGCTTTAGAAAACCTACAACAGGAGGAGGTCCACCCAACCTCCTCCTGTCACCAGGTAACAGCACTGAGTTGCGGTTGCTTAGCGGCCCAGCTGATTGCAACTTGTGCTGCTCTGAGCTTAAGCAGAACCAGAACCAAGAACCTGATCAGGGGAAGAACTGGGTCTATTGAACACAAGCTAC